CTTTGACTTTTTCACATTTTCGACACACATGACTTATCACTTAATGATATTTGTTGACCTACTATACTAAGTATCTTTTGACCTATATGTATTCTTTGACCTACTATATGTATTTCTTGACCTACTATATGTATTTGTTGACCTACTATATGTATTTCTTGATCTACTATATGTATTTCTTCACCTACTATATGTATTTCTTGATCTACTATATGTATTTCTTGACCTACTATACTAAGTATATTTTGACCTACTATACTAAGTATCTTTTGACCTACTATACTAAGTATCTTTTGACCTACTATACTAAGTATATTTTGACCTACTATACTAAGTATTTTTTGACCTATATGTATTTTTTGACCTACTATACAAAGTATCTTTTGACCTACTATACTAAGTATTTCTTGACCTACTACACTAAGTATTTATTGACCTACTATATGTATTTTTTTACCTACTATTCTATATATTTATTTTTTGACATACTTATACTATATATATTTTTGGACATACTATACTATATTTTTTGACCTATATTATATATTTTTGTACGTATTATACTGAATATTTTTTGACATACTATAAATATTTTCTGACCGACTATATTCTGATGCTTTTCATGATATTTGAACGTCTTATAGTGTGTATTTATTTCTTAATTTTTGACATACTTCACCGTGACTCTGATTGGATAACGTCAACACACACTGAAGAAAATACACACCATAAACCTGGTATGTTTCAGCCTCTGCAGCTGTTTTTAATCCCACATTAAGAGGCCGGGCCGCAGATTATCTGGCGTGCACCGCAGTCAGCGAGCAGTCAAAAGTTCAACAGCAATATTTTATTTCAATATATAAAAATATATCATGTGACGCAGCATTTTGTTACAACCCCTCTGAACCGGATCACAAAACATCCAACAGGGTAATAAAATACGTCTCAGAACATGTTCTTTAATATTTCCAGCAACACAGAACACATCAGTTTATATATAAATACTGTCAGAGGATGGAGAAGTACTCAGATCATTTACTTCAGTAAAAGTAGAAGTACTTTGGTCTAAAAATACTCTTAGAAATCCTGGATTCAAGACAGAAGTACATATTAAATCAGCGTAATGTACCTCAAGTATCAAAAGTATGCAGAGTGGCTCTTTTCACAGGTATTATAGAATATTATATTATTCCGTTTTAGAGGTATAAATACATGTTGTGGTTTGTTAATGTGGAGCACATTTTAGGTACTTTATTAAAACACTGGGATGTTTACAGTTGTGCAGCGTATCATGTGTTTTTCTATATAAAACGCACCTATGTAGTGGAGTTAAAGTATATGTAGCATAAAGTACAAATACTCAAGTAAAGTACAAGTATGCTAAATCAACAGGCTTTACCAGTACAAGTATAAAAATGCAAAATGTCACACTTTCACAGTATTTTAATATCAAAATGTTTTATACTATTCTGTTTTTAATTTGACTATTCAGCAAGAATTGAAACTGAGCAATTTCATTCCTCTGCATGTTTTTAAAGCTATGAAATGCTCGTTGATACTATGGGCACTTGTAAATGTCTATAACTATGTAAATGTATCCTGTAAATATAATGTATGATGTCCTTTATGGTTTTATGTTTCATGTGGAACCTATATGCTGCAGGTCTCCCTTGAAAAAGAGATCTATGATCTCAATGGACCAATCTGGTTAAATAAAGGTTTGAAATGAAAATGAAATTAGATGTAAAAAATACATGCAATCGCATTTTGATGCTGTATTTTGTTAAAGTGCAGTACATTTTAGATTTATTTTCAAAATGTATATATGTTAGTATTTATATTTGCATCTAAAATGCATTATATCATCAGCATACCATGTGTCGTTATATGCAAAAGTAGCTAGAAACTAGAAGACTAGAAGAATGAAGTAAAAATAGAAAAGTAGCATGAAACAGAAATACTCAAATGAAGTACAAGTGTGATAAAAAGCACATATTGTACTTTTTTTGTTTGCCGCTAGTGTGTTTTTAGCAGTATGTAATCGAGTAAATGTACATTTCACATAGTCTGTGCAGTACCCACAAGAAAGAACAGTCCATGTGTTTTTATATGCAAAAAGCAGCTCGTAACTGTGAGTTTTAAACAGAACCATATCTGCATCTGAAGTGTAGTAAAAATAGAAATACTGAAGTACAGCACATGAATAAATGTACTTCCCACCACTGCAGTACACAGTATGTACTTGAGTAACTGTAATACATGTCACCACTATATGTAGTCTTTGCAGTACCCAGATCTGCCTCTGAAATGTAGTGAACTAGAAGTAAAAATATAAATTACTTAAGTATAAGTATGAAAAAAGAACAGCACATGAGTAAATGTACTTCCCGCCACCACTGCTTTGCACTCGAGTAACACTGTACTCAGTTACATGTCACCACTATATATAAAGTCTTTGCAGTACCCAGATAGTGCTGCACATTAAGAACAGTTCATGTGTTTTTATATGCACAAAGCAGCTCGTAACTGTGAGTTTTAAACAGATTTAGTGCAGTAAACACAACCCTATCTGCCTCTGAAATGTAGTGGACTAGAAGTAAAAATAGAACAGTCGCGTAAAATAGAAATACTAAAGTACTATGGGCTCAGAACAGTCTCATAATACACACATGCACACAGAAGGATTCAAACTTGTATTTCCGGATCCATACTTGTGTTTTTCAATGCACACACAAATGTATTCCGTTTCATATACATGTAAATAAAATCCAAATACAGAAAAAAGTTTTATATATGTATTTTTGATCCTCACTTATTAGTTTCCCGTTTAAATCCCCTGCACCTGCAAACACAAACAGCTTTCTGTGCACGGATCGCTTTGCATTCGTGTGTGGGTTTTTTGAGACTCCCCTGACGGTCAGCCGATTCGTACTTGTAATTTTTTCTATCTATAGCCAATCAGTTGTCTCCTTCATTCTAAGCCAATCACATGAGCGCGCCCCCACGAGGGTAAGATTATTTCATATACGCATTTTGCGCAGTCCGGTCAGCTCGCTAAACAGAGGGCGGAGCATCAGGTGATCATGCAGAGCAGCGTGTCTCCATCAGACTCACTCAGCAGCTGATCTGATCTCTCTCTTGCGTCCGGTTACACTTCACTCGCGTTTATGTCCATATCGATCAGATCCAGCTCTCCTGATCGGCCTTTATAGAGAGCACCGATCAAACTATTAAGAGTGAATATCGGCCGATAATGACCGGCGGGGCTCCCGCCCCCCGTTAACAGGTCACCGTCTAGCACTGGCTTCGTAGTGCACTGATCGATTAGGCTAAGCTAACCTGTAGCTGCTTCCTCCACACTCACAACAACTTCATACAGACATAAATAAAGCAGCTGTATTCGCCATACAGGAAACACACATTTAAAACGGGTTTGCCTGCCGTTTTTGTGTACACAAGCATTCATCAATGGTTTGGAAAGTGGCACTGTACCTTAATAATATAAAGGCTTGTATTTGCGTGCATTTCCTGTTCGGAAAGTGGCGCTGTACTGAGAGTGGAGGGTGTCCTGAGATTAGCGCCTGCATGCAGGCTCCATGGAGCTGTCAGCTCCGGACTGCGCAAAATGCGTACATGAAGCGCTACGTCATGAACGCAAGAAATCTACCCTCGTGGGGGCGCGCTCATGTGATTGGCTTAGAATTGAGGAGACATCTGATTGGCTATAGATAGAAATAATTACAAGTACGAATCGGCTGACCGTCAGGGGAGTCTCAAAAAACCCACACACGAATGCACAGCGATCCGTGCACAGAAAGCGGTTTGTGTTTGCAGGTGCAGGGGATTTAAACGGAAAACAAATATGTGAGGATCAAAAATACACATGTAAAACTTTTTTCTGTATTTGGATTTTATTTACATGTATATGAAACGGAATACATTTGCGTGTGCATTGAAAAACACAAGTGTGGATCCGGAAATACAAGTTTGAATCCTTTTGCAGATCATGAAATACAAGTGTGAATCCTTCTGTGCGCATGTGTGTATTATGAGACTGTTCTAAGCCCATAAAGTACAGCACATGAGTAAATGTACTTCCCACCACTTGTACTGTGCAGCATGAGTAACTATGCTATGCTACATGTCACCACTATATTGCAGTTCCCAGAATGTGCTGCACGTCAAGAGCAGTTCATGCCTTTTCGCTGTGATTTACCTGAAAGCTTTTCTTATCCCACAGGAGGCTAACACTCCTCCCCCGAATACACAACCTGACATATGGAGATCACACCGCTCTTTACGGGACGAGGTCACTTCCATACGGGGAAATGCAGAGCAATGAGGAAGAGCCGCTGCAGCGCTGAAGAAGATTAGTGAGTTCATGGGAAAGCTGCACAGCGTTTGTATCTGCATGAAGAGGAGCAGAGAGACATCTGTTTACAGCGTCTCCTCACACAGATGTCAATGAAAGTAAAACACACTCGTAACAAACCAAGAATATCACGTCATATTAATTAAAAACTGAGCGTTACGCAACAGAAAGTGTAGCTTCACATGTTCACTTTGATCACAGTAATCCTTCGCCACTGTGATGCTGGAGATCCTGCAGCTGTTAATGAGGATGAAGAGGATGCATGGGATATTTAATCCATACATATCATAGATTATTGTATTTGAACAGCTCATGTGGAGATAAATAAAGTCTTTTCTCGGAAGATAGCAGAACATTTCCAGTTAGCAAAGGATCGCATTTCAACAGCAACATATCCAGAAGATCCTACTTTTTGCAGCGAGACTCAAACCAGCAACAAAGCGTGAAAGAACGAGCATTCCTCCGTCTTTCACGGATAAAATATGTTTTATCTTATCTGTAATTTCCTTTGTAGAGCAGACAAGGATCATTTGCGCGAAAATACCACCATGACAACATCAGTCTTCTGACAGCGGAAAATAGTCATTGTTTTAATTCGCCATGCTTGCATTTCAACAGAAAACCGTTTTAAATCCTATTTTCTGCAGGGCAAACTCACAGCAGCAACCACATAAAACAGAAGCTTGTTTGACATAAATGCCAATGTTTAAACATCAGTCTTTTCCTCTAAAGATAGTCGGATATCTTCACTTTACCGCGCTTTCATTTCAAAAGAAAATATCCCGAAAATCCAGCGTTTGGCAGCGCAAAGTCCAACCAGTACTGCCACGTTTAAAGAAGAGTATTTCTCCAGTCTTTCTTGGATAAGTGACATTAAATCTCATCTGAAATTGTCGTTTTCAGCACAAACTCACAAGTTTAGAGAAGAGATGCTCATTTCAGAATGAATGCCTTTAGAAATATCCCGGAAATCTTACATTTGCAGCGCAAACTCACACCGTCACGTTTGAGGACGAGTGTTCCTCCGTGCTTTCATGGATACATCTTTAATCACAACTTTCTTTAGAAGAAATCCACCGTCTTGCAGGGCAAACAAGTAAAAACAAGAGTAGAAGTACACATGTAAACATCAGTCTTTCCTCTGAAGATAGCTGGTAATATCATATATAATGTTTGCGCTTGCATTTCACAAGAACAATATCTAGAGATCCAGATATTTAGCAGGGCAAACTCACACCAGCAATGACAGCTTGTTGCTCCGTTCTTGGATGAAATGAAACATAATTTTAGCTCATCAGCCATTTGAAAAGCTTCTCCTTCTGTCGGTCAGAAAGCAAAGAAACCACATTTCCAAAGTCCTCATGTGCTCGAGAGACAGTAATGACGTTTTGCAGCACAAACTCACGAGTTTAGAGAAGAGTACAACATATCCATTTGGCCGTGTTCCTCCCTGCTTTCATGGATAAGTGATCTTTAATCTCACTATTCTGCAGGGTGAACAAGTATAAAGAATAGTAGATGTAAACATCAGTCTTTCGTCTGAAGATAATATCCAGTTTGCCACGCTTGCATTTCACAAGAAAAAGATCCAGAAATCCAGACGTTTAGCAGGGCAAACTCTCAACAGCAACCCCACTCCTTGTTCGTTCTGTCGCTCACAAAGCAAAGAAACCATTTCCAAAGTCCTCATGTGCACGAGAGACAGTAATAACTATCTAATTGTCCGATCAAATCAAACACGATCCGCACTACGACTATAAAGCAGAGCAATGTTTGGTTTTCGTTCCCTCTTCGCCCTTCGACCCCCGATGAGAGTTTCCCCTCTTCAGACATCAGAGTCCCATTTCTCAGACTTTCCGTCCCGTTCCCCATCTCCTCCCTGAGCTCCTGCTGCAGGAGTTTGGAGACGAGGTTGTTGAAGCGGTTCTCAGTCGTGGCGACGATTTGCGACGAAACTGTGGTTACATTCAGCTCTCCGGGGTCCACACAGGTGTCGTTAACTCTCGCAAAAACCACCTCGGAAAGATCTAATCCAGCCACGGAGGAAGGTGATGCACACGGGACGTCTCGAACTAGTTTATAACTTTCCATCCATTCTTTTAGCCACTCTAAGGAACAGTCGCAGACCCATGGGTTCCTGAAAAGAAAGAGGCGAGCGAGGAAGTAAACGGGCTGGAAAACAGGAAAGGGAAACGTCGTGAGGTTGTTGCTGTTCAGGTGAAGCGTGATGAGGCTGGTGAGGTTCTCGAAGGCTCCTTCCTCGATGTTTAACAGCTGGTTCCTGTCCAGGTAGAGCACCTCCAGCTCCACCTGGTCACCGAACCAGGTGCGGGACACGTTGGTCAGCTTGTTCCCGCCCAGGTTCAGCATCTTGAGGCAGACGAGGCCTTTGAAGGCGGAGCGAGGGAGGCCTGCCAGCATGTTGTCGTTCAGGTAGAAGTTCTCCAGACGCACCAGGTCCTGGAAGGAGTGGTCGTGGATCACGTGGATGCGGTTCTCCTGGAGGTTCAGGAACCTGAGACAAGAAGAGGAGATGTTTAGAAGACACAGAAGTGGGAAGTAGTGGAGTACAAATAGTTTGTTACTTAAGTACATGTTTCTGGTATCAGTACTTTACTCCACTACTTATTTTTCTGAGGACTTTTTACTTTGACTTCTTACATTTTGAACACAAATACCTGTACTTTCTACTTCTTACATGTTGAACCCAAATACCTGTACTTTCTACTTCTTACATTTTGAACACAAATACCTGTACTTTCTACTTCTTACATTTTGAACACAAATACCTGTACTTTCTACTTCTTACATTTTGAACACAAATACCTGTACTTTCTACTTCTTACATGTTGAACTCAAATACCTGTACTTTCTACTTCTTACATCTTGAACACAAATACCTGTACTTTCTACTTCTTACATGTTGAACTCAAATACCTGTACTTTCTACTTCTTACATGTTGAACTCAAATACCTGTACTTTCTACTTCTTACATGTTGAACACAAATACCTGTACTTTCTACTTCTTACATGTTGAACACAAATACCTGTACTTTCTACTTCTTACATGTTGAACACAACTACCTGTACTTTCTACTTCTTACATGTTGAACTCAAATACCTGTACTTTCTACTTCTTACATGTTGAACACAAATACCTGTACTTTCTACTTCTTACATGTTGAACTCAAATACCTGTACTTTCTACTTCTTACATTTTGAACACAAATACCTGTACTTTCTACTTCTTACATGTTGAACTCAAATACCTGTACTTTCTACTTCTTACATGTTGAACTCAAATACCTGTACTTTCTACTTCTTACATGTTGAACACAAATACCTGTACTTTCTACTTCTTACATGTTGAACACAAATACCTGTACTTTCTACTTCTTACATGTTGAACACAAATACCTGTACTTTCTACTTCTTACATGTTGAACACAAATACCTGTACTTTCTACTTCTTACATGTTGAACACAAATACCTGTACTTTCTACTTCTTACATGTTGAACCCAAATACCTGTACTTTCTACTTCTTACATGTTGAACACAAATACCTGTACTTTCTACTTCTCACATGTTGAACACAAATACCTGTACTTTCTACTTCTTACATGTTGAACACAAATACCTGTACTTTCTACTTCTTACATGTTGAACACAAATACCTGTACTTTCTACTTCTTACATTTTGAACACAAATACCTGTACTTTCTACTTCTTACATGTTGAACTCAAATACCTGTACTTTCTACTTCTTACATGTTGAACACAAATACCTGTACTTTCTACTTCTTACATGTTGAACTCAAATACCTGTACTTTCTACTTCTTACATTTTGAACACAAATACCTGTACTTTCTACTTCTTACATGTTGAACTCAAATACCTGTACTTTCTACTTCTTACATCTTGAACACAAATACCTGTACTTTCTACTTCTTACATGTTGAACTCAAATACCTGTACTTTCTACTTCTTACATGTTGAACTCAAATACCTGTACTTTCTACTTCTTACATGTTGAACACAAATACCTGTACTTTCTACTTCTTACATGTTGAACACAAATACCTGTACTTTCTACTTCTTACATGTTGAACACAAATACCTGTACTTTCTACTTCTTACATGTTGAACACAAATACCTGTACTTTCTACTTCTTACATGTTGAACACAAATACCTGTACTTTCTACTTCTTACATGTTGAACCCAAATACCTGTACTTTCTACTTCTTACATGTTGAACACAACTACTTGTACTTTCTACTTCTTACATGTTGAACACAAATACCTGTACTTTCTACTTCTTACATGTTGAACTCAAATACCTGTACTTTCTACTTCTTACATCTTGAACACAAATACCTGTACTTTCTACTTCTTACATGTTGAACTCAAATACCTGTACTTTCTACTTCTTACATGTTGAACTCAAATACCTGTACTTTCTACTTCTCACATGTTGAACACAAATACCTGTACTTTCTACTTCTTACATGTTGAACACAAATACCTGTACTTTCTACTTCTTACATGTTGAACACAAATACCTGTACTTTCTACTTCTTACATGTTGAACACAAAATACCTGTACTTTCTACTTCTTACATGTTGAACACAAATACCTGTACTTTCTACTTCTTACATGTTGAACACAAATACCTGTACTTTCTACTTCTTACATGTTGAACTCAAATACCTGTACTTTCTACTTCTTACATGTTAAACACAAATACCTGTACTTTCTACTTCTTACATGTTGAACACAAATACCTGTACTTTCTACTTCTCACATGTTGAACACAAATACCTGTACTTTCTACTTCTTACATGTTGAACTCAAATACCTGTACTTTCTACTTCTTACATGTTAAACACAAATACCTGTACTTTCTACTTCTTACATGTTGAACACAAATACCTGTACTTTCTACTTCTCACATGTTGAACTCAAATACCTGTACTTTCTACTTCTCACATGTTGAGCTCAAATACCTGTACTTTCTACTTCTTACATTTTGAACACAAATACCTGTACTTTCTACTTCTTACATTTTGAACACAAATACCTGTACTTTCTACTTCTTACATTTTGAACACAAATACCTGTACTTTCTACTTCTTACATGTTGAACTCAAATACCTGTACTTTCTACTTCTTACATTTTGAACACAAATACCTGTACTTTCTACTTCTTACATGTTGAACTCAAATACCTGTACTTTCTACTTCTCACATGTTGAACCCAAATACCTGTACTTTCTACTTCTTACATGTTGAACCCAAATACCTGTACTTTCTACTTATTACATGTTGAACTCAAATACCTGTACTTTCTACTTCTTACATGTTGAACCCAAATACCTGTACTTTCTACTTATTACATGTTGAACTCAAATACCTGTACTTTCTACTTCTTACATGTTGAACCCAAATACCTGTACTTTCTACTTCTCACATGTTGAACACAAATACCTGTACTTTCTACTTCTCACATGTTGAACTCAAATACCTGTACTTTCTACTTCTTACATGTTGAACTCAAATACCTGTACTTTCTACTTCTCACATGTTGAACTCAAATACCTGTACTTTCTACTTCTCACATGTTGAACTCAAATACCTGTACTTTCTACTTCTCACATGTTGAACACAAATACCTGTACTTTCTACTTCTTACATGTTGAACCCAAATACCTGTACTTTCTACTTCTTACATGTTGAACACAAATACCTGTACTTTCTACTTGTTACATGTTGAACTCAAATACCTGTACTTTCTACTTCTTACATGTTGAACTCAAATACCTGTACTTTCTACTTCTCACATGTTGAACTCAAATACCTGTACTTTCTACTTCTTACATGTTGAACTCAAATACCTGTACTTTCTACTTCTTACATGTTGAACACAAATACCTGTACTTTCTACTTCTTACATGTTGAACTCAAATACCTGTACTTTCTACTTCTCACATGTTGAACTCAAATACCTGTACTTTCTACTTCTTACATGTTGAACACAAATACCTGTACTTTCTACTTCTTACATGTTGAACTCAAATACCTGTACTTTCTACTTCTCTCATTTTCCAAACAGCTGGTTCCTTTAGTCTGAATGTGTGTTTGATGCGTGATCATTATTCTTTAGAGTCGTTGCCTATTGATTTGAACACGATCCGTGTATCCATCATTTCCTGGTCTTCTCTAAAGAAGAGGGACCAATGGAAACGTTGTCATGTTGCCGTTGTTCAGCATGGAAACATTCATTAGCTAACAATGACATTATTGTTCTATTAATATAAAGGGAGGTCAGGTACTCTTTAAAGCAGCTGCTAGTTATGGGTACTTTTTACTGAAGTACATTTCAAAGCCTCTTTACTTTGACTTGAGTAAATAAGTTTAGTCAGTACTTCTACTTTCACCAGAGTATTTATAAACACGAGTATCTGTACTTCTACTTGAGTAAAGGATGTGTGTACTCTTGACATCTCTGCCTGCCATAAGTCCCTTAGTAACTTAATAAACGTTGACTTCCTGTCTTCTCTCACCTGAGTCTTGTGAGGCCCAGCAGGGAGTTGTAGGCCACCGCCTCGATGCGACACCTCTCCAGGTAGATGTGCGTCAGGTTCTCCATCCCTCTGAAGGACGAGGGGATCCTGCGGAAGTGGTTCTCGAAGAGGAAGACCTCGCGGAGCGCCGGCTGCTCGATGAAGATGCGGTCGGGGATGTTGAACAGGTTGCAGTTGGACAGGTCCAGACGCTCCAGCTTCTTTATCCCCGTGAAGGTGCGTGTGTGAAGGTAACTGATGTAGTCGTTGTTGGCCAGCTTCAGCTCCACCAGGTTAGGGAGGCCCTGAGGAGAGAGAGGGGGGTTAGAGAAGGGGAGGATTCACAAGATGCTCTTCAGATTACATGACCCACAACTAAAGCTTTATTCAGACAACGACACTGTCAAAAGAACCGATATAAAGAGGTTATATTAAGGTTTGTAAGGTTTCTGCAGACCATGTAATTGGTCTGCAGAGGCTAAAACACCCTCTCCCAAACAGAAGTGAGAGAAAATATCACAGTTGATAGATTTTGGGCTGAGATTATTGGTTTTTGGGCTTACTCCTGTTAGGTCTTTAAGGTGCTGCTATTTGACATGCCCCCCAGGATACATGACTATTATACTAATATAGTGTTACTCAAATACTTGTAATTGTAATATTGTCATTAATTACTCTTTTTTTGTCTAATCACACACACACACACACACACACACACACACACACACACACACACACACACACACACACACACACACACACACACACACACATATATATTTATATTTATATATATAGATATATATATATTTATATTTATATATATAGATATATATATGTATATGTGCAAGGCAACAAGGATGCCTTTGACATGCTGGGGATCAAACTTGTGACCCCCTGATTGATAGTAATGCATTTAGCCCTCGAGCCACCTAGACAAATGAAGGAGGAGGAGCCAAAGTGGACCGTGGTATCCAGAAAAATACAAGGTCACCAGGACGTCTGGAACCAAAATACACAATATTTCCGAAGACAAAAGAAGTTTAATTTGTTGAACCCCAGTCCCCCACATTTAAAACTAATGCTTAGACCTCAAGGTTACTCTCAAGACTATTTCACAGTGAAATACCAGCTTGTGTTTTCAGTACAGACTCATAAAAACATGCTGTTAATATAGGAATATTCCTCGTTCAGACCTTGAAGGCCCCAGGCGTGATGAAGGAGATGTTGTTGTGCTCCACAGAGAGGCTCTTCAGGGCGGGCAGGGTCCCAAAGGCCCGCTCTGAGAGGAACTTCAAGCTGTTCTTGTCCAGGTTGATGGCTGCCGCCTCGCAGGGAAACTCTGGAGGAATCTCCGCCAGACGGGAGCGGTCACAGAGAACAGAGCAGCTCCTCTCGGGGGTGCAGGAGCAGGAGGGGGGGCAGGAGCGCACACAGGCCCAGCGAGCGAGGAGGGGCTGGGGGAGGAGGACCAGAAACACCACTGCAGGGGAGAGAGCAGGAAGACAGGGTTAGAATGATATAAAGAAAACACAGTCACGATGGAGAAAGTGGACTGATTTCGTGAAACCTCAGAGGCCAGATTTTATTTTTACTGTGAAGTCCTGATCACTCCCTAATGTTTACTTTTTACTGTTTTTATTTAAGGTAATTCAGACGGACAAACTTAAGATGTACAATAACTATGTCTTGAAAAAACTCTGTAATCGTTCGCTGCCAAAAAAACAAAAAAAAGTTGTATATTAGCAGTATATTGGCTCTTTATTAGTCATTATAAAACACTTATTAATGCCTTATTCTACATGACCATATTCTACAAGTAAGTGTTATTATGGGACTTGCTACAAATCAGCACTAATTAGAGGGTTATTGAGGAAAAACTCTCAACTAATGGCTTATTACTTGTAGAATATGGTCATGTAGAATAAGGCATTAATAAGTGTTTTATAATGACTAATAAAGAGCCAATATCCTGCTAATATGCATGTTGATGACCAACTAGTTGATGGTTAATGTGTGTAAGGCAAGGCAAGGCAATTTTATTTATATAGCACTTTTCAGCACGTGGCGATTCAAAGTGCTTTACAGATTAAAAGCAAACAACATTTAAGAACAAATACAGCATAAATACATTATTAAAAAGGCATAATAAGCAAAGGTAATGAAATAAATTAAATAAATAAACACAGCAGGTACAGAATACATGACTGAAAGGCATACTGTAGTGTGAGTATGGGCAGCTCAATTAAAAGCAGCGGCAAATAGGTGCGTTTTTAGTCGGGATTTAAAAATAGGTGTAACACAAAAGTGTTTGTGTGTGTACCTTAATATAAAGTGTTAGCCAAAAAAAAAACACTGCAGGAGAGATCACAAAGACATGTTTTTAATTATATAAAGAAAACACTGCAGGAGACAAAAACACATTTTGAGTTATCAAAAAAACAATAACGCATTCCGCGACAGTACACAGTACTAAATCTACTAAATCCACTTCCCAAATGAAGTCTATGGTTCAAAGAGGAAGAGAAACCCTGAGTTTCTAAATGTCTGCTTTACAAAGAATGGTCCCTTAGTTTTGTGTTACTAGTATTTCTCCCGCTGGTAAATAGAAAAACGAAATGCATATTCTGCAGGAAGATGTGACCTCCACAGTCCAGATGGTTTAACTGCCACAGAATTGACTGATAAAGTGTATGTAGTGAGTTTATTAACACATGTTTCCTCCTGAGTATTTCTGACGTTGAGTCCCGTCAAGTGTGATTCTCTCTCTACTGAAATGATGAAGCGATAATGCAGCACAGCTTACATCAGATTAGCTGCACAACAATAGCTCCTGTCTGCTGATGGATTTATTTCAGCCTGCAGGCCGAAACCCAGCAGACTTCCTTTTAGTCTGATCAATCAGAACAGCCATCACTGTCTGTTGAATCACTTTAAAGGAGAAAAAACGACATTTCTCTGAGATTTTAGGAGATTTTGTCGTATTGTTAGCGAAGCATCAGAGCTATCATCATCTCATATTTTATTTTTATTTAGCCTTTATTTATACAGGTGTAGATCTCATTGAGACACAAGGTCTCATTTTCAAGAGAGACCTGTCAGTGGTAACACTACCACACAAAGTTACAGACAGACAGGACACTAAACACAGAGGCAACACTAAAATACAACATCGTAAAAAAGTAGTCATTAAAATCCATATACAGCAGTCAGATATAGCAGGTGCAAACACCCACAGATGATATGATGCATTAGAGTAAACTGGGAACCAATGTTGAAGTTTTTTTAGTATTTTATGGTGAATTATAATCCATTTGTTATCTTAAATACTCAAATGTCTTATTTTAATATCTTCAAGGGGTTCAAACCAACATTTCCAAGAGGTCTTAGGAGAATTTGTCGCATTGTTAGCGATGCACTAAACTGTGAACCAATATTGAGGTTCTCTTTGTATTTTATGCTTGAATTATAATCCCTTTATTTTCCTAAATTCACATTTTTGTCAATTGAATGTCTTTAAGAGGTTTAAAACCAACATTTCTAGATTTTAATAGGACAATATTTCTGATAATTCAGCATGGATCGAAAGATAACAGCTATAGATCAATAAGAGAAATCAAATTAAACATGTTTTTTTATTAGATTTCAACAGTCCAGATTTTAATGCAACATATTTTAATTTGAGCTGTGTGAAAACGGTTGCAATTAATAAGCACCAGTGCATGTAGTGGCCTGTCTTTTATCAAATAAATACATTTATTTTGTGTATTTATTTATTCATAATTGTATTTATTTATTCATAATCTTTTTAAAGGTCCCACGTCCACATGGCCATTTCTACTGATCATAGTTCCATTGTTGAGGTCTACTAGAATAGATGTACATTGTTCAATGTTCCAAACTCACATTGGTTTCTCACAGCATCTCTGTAGAGTCTGTGTATTCACTCTCTGTCCTACACGGCTTGTTGGAGCTCCTCCCCCCCCCCCTCCCTGTGAGCCCAGTGGCCGTCTGCGAGAAAGCGAGACACAGCTAAACCCAGCCCGAACACACACACACAC